AACAGATTCTGTCCCCACACCACCCCAAATGCTAACACCCCGAGGTGTCCTTGATCTCAATTCCTTTTTCCTGTTTAAGAATAATCATTTGAATCCCTCCTTTCCCCCCGTATCATCAATTTCTCTCTAATAGAGTATTCTAGAAAGCAAGTGTGCCTTTCTAGCATCTATTCAAAAAAATTCCTTGACTCCATGCATCCGTCTATTGCTCAGGTTTCTTCTTTCCTTCTCAGAAAAGTCCCTTTAAAGAAATTTCTATTATTCTCTACTCAATCTTACCTACTTCATTTATACTTACTTCAGTTATGCTTTTATTTTCATAAGGGTTATAAATTATAATTTGTAAGTTTAAATTATATTTAATTTGACTTTAACTTTAATTGATTCTGCATTTTAAAAAATAATAACTATTGATCTAAAAATTGATATTTTTAATTTTTGAGGAAACTTTACCCTTTTTTCTATAATGGTGGACTCAATTTACATTCCCACTAATAGTAAATATTCCCTTTTCTCTATATATTTGTCAACACATCTAATCTTTTGTCTTTTCAATAATAACTGTTTTAACTGGAGTGAAGAGATACAGTAGCCCCTCAGTTCATGAACTTAATTCTTTCAATGACTCTGATCACAGAATTCATTCCATGATTTGTATTTAATTGAAGGTCAATGACATTGAACATTTTTCATATCCTGTTGGACATCCCTTTTTTGAGAAAGTGTCTCCCTTGCAGTTAGTTTGGCCTTGAACTCACTATGAAACCCAGGCTGCCTTGAATTTGTGGTGAAACCTCCTGCCTCAGCCTTCCAAGTGCTGGTACCATTCCTAGCTCCCTGTTAGCCATTTGTATATCTTCTTTTGAGAAACATTTATTCATATCCTTTGTAAATTTTTAATTTGGGCTAGTTGTCTTGCTATATGTTTTAACTTTTAATGAACTTTGAATACTTTCCCTTTATCAGATGGATAGTTTACACATATTTTCCTCCTTTCTATAGGATATGCTCTCTTTTCCCTATATTGATTATTTGTCTTCTACAGAAACCTTTTAGGCCCTGTTATCTATTTTGTTGTTGTTCTTGTTTTTGGTGTTTTGTTTTTTTTTTTGAAACAGGATCTCACTGTGTAGTCCAGGCTGGCCTCGAACTCACAGTGATTTTTCCGCTTCAGCCTCCTGAGTGCTAGGGTTGGTGTCATTTCTGAATTAAATCCTTACCAGACCAATGTCATAGAGCCTTTTCCTTATGTTTTACTGCAATAGTTTTTTAACTTCAGGTCCTACATTACAGACTTAAATCCATTTTGTGTTGATTTTACATGGGGTATCTAATTTGCAAAAGGTATCTAATTTTCCTCTTCTGCATGTGGATACCTAGTTTTCTAACACCATTTATTGAAGAGACTGTCCTTTATCATGTGTTCTTAGTATCTTTATCTAAGCTTTGCTCTTTTCATTCAAGAGTTCTTTAGCTATGTGATCATTTAGATCTAGAATGTCCCCAAGAGTCAGATATGTTCTGAGGTGTGGCATTTGGATCCTGGGGGTGCTATACTCATTAGTGGGTTGCTCCGTGGATGAATTCATAGGCAACTGTACTGTGAGAAGATAGACTGGTTGGAAGAGGTACGTTTCTTGGTCTTTTCCTTTGAAGGATAGATCTCCTCCCTTCGCTCCTCCTTTGTCTGCTTCCTGGCTGCCATGAGATGAGCAGTTTTCCTCCACCATAATGTTTCTACCTTGGAGCTAGTGACCTTGGACTGAAGCCCTTGAACCATGAACCAAATTAAACCTCTCCATCTTTAAGTTGTGGATATTGGATATTATGTCACAGTAAAGAGAAAGCAGACTAATACAGGCTAATCAGGGTATAGTACTTTTTCAATGGACAATTATTTCTCTTCATTTAATTGAATGTTTCAGCAGCACTCGACACAGCTAATCAATCTCTTCATTTTGGTACATTTTATTCCTTAGTCTTCTATTCCTCCATCCTTTTTTTTTCTTGGTGTGTGCTTTCTTATCATGTGCTGCTCTGTATCAGTCCTCTTACTATTTCCTCCATTCATGTCTGGATTTTGGGCTGCTTTTCTCCTTTTTCTCTTCTGTACTGGACATCTCCATGGCAGTCTTGTTCAGTCCATGGGTTTATGCATCATTTATAGGTTTAGATCTCTTAATCTTTGTCTGTGGCCAAAAATCTCTTCCCTAAACTCTATCTCACAAATATTTTCCTGATTTACTTCAGTGCTTGGATATCTTATAAGATTCTGAAACTTAACATGGGCAAAATAAATGTAGAAATATCCTAAATCCAAACTTCCCCTTTCCCAGAATTTCTCTGTCTGTAAGATTCATCAACTTCTAATTGTTCAGTCCAAATTTAAGAGTAATCTTTGACTCCTTTTTCCACCATGCCACGCATTCAATCTATGGCAAGTCTGAGCTTCTCTACACTGAAATGCCCTAACCTTTTGTCTCTTTACACCTTGCCTGCAGTTCAAGGCTCAGCCACATCCTTTATCACTTGGGCTCTTACAATCCCTTTATAACTGTTTTCTGCTCTTTCTTCAGCTCACTTCTGAAGAACTGCTTGAGGAAACTTTCAAGCTAAGCATAAATTAAATAATGTTTTGCTTATAAGGAGGATCATACTCAATTTTCTTACTGGCCCCAAAATGACCTTCAAGCATTTCTGACAAATTCCTTCCTGACTGAGGAAAACGCCACTCTGTTCTTTATTTTAGGGCCTTGTTATTTGCTGATCCTTTTGTTTGCAATGTTGTTCTTTTCTTAGATCTTCATCATAGAGGTTTCCTTCTCATCATTTAGCTCATTATTCAAGTTACCTCCTCAGAACACCTTCCCTGAGACATAAAAAGATTTGTACATTCCTTCCCTGTTCAATTATTCTCAATCCAATTTCTCTACTATATTTCTTTCAATAAATTTAAAAACCTGACATTGACTTTTCTAATCATTAATTTAAAGGATTATTGGTTCCTTCTCTCTTTCAGAGTAGGGACAGTCTGTGGCCTTCTTATTCATTGCTGCATCCCCAGTGTGAAAGTTAAGCTTAATTGTTAATTTGACTGGATTAAGAGACTTCTGCCTCTTGATTGGTTCACAGGAGCACTATACTTGTTGATGTGTTAATCCAGAGATTTTCATAAATGAATGTGCCCTTAGGTTAGGTGGTGGAGCCCAGCCAGCGGAAGGTGTCACTAAAGGTGTGCCTCTGGAAGGTGTACCTCTTGTTCCTGCTCTTCCCTGTGCTGTCTCCTGACTGCCAACAAATAAGCAGCTTCACTCTGCCATCTGCCATGTTGTTTCTGCCTCAGAGCTAGCTGATCATGGGCTGAAAGCTCCGAAACTATTATCCATATTAAACACTTCTTCCTTTAAGTGGCAAGTGTTAGGTATTTTGTCCTACTAAAGAGAAATCTGATCAGTACACCCACTACTCAGAACCACGCTGTTTCTGTGGCATTTACTCATTCAAAATGTGACTAAGTAAAGTACAGTGTAGAAGGCAGTATACATTACTTGCATAATATAACATAAACTATTCAGGAACTGAAAACTAACTTAAAACTTAAAACTGACTCATCTTTAACTAAGAAAATATTTTCAGGAGCACAAGAGGATAAGAAGAGAAGTATGTCTCTTGCATTTTTAACCTTTTTAGCAGATAGATTTGTGTTTGAATCAAACTTGTGTCTCTAGTGGCAGAAAAAATTTTGTAGCTTTAGAAATGGTTTCTGTTTCTTAACAGCTCTTTTGAAGATTATGTGTCAAAGCTCTATGTCACACCTGAATTTCTTGGGCTCACATGGAGGGAGAGAGGTGGATGAGATGTGTGATTTACTCTTAGAAAAATCTAAGTAATCTGAGTTACTGTATATTTGTTCCTCTTATCTCCCAAGGGGAGGTTAATATAATGCAGGATCTCAATTTTAATGGATCTAAATATGTTTATAACTTTTAACAACTTTGGATCTCCTATTTAAATTTGCTTTTATATCAATCACATACCAAATTTCTGAAATAATCTTTCAATGCATGTTTAAGTTGTTTTTATTTTTAGCAGATAAAACTTATATTTTATCATTTCCAAGTAGGGTTAACAATTTGAAGAAGAAATGTAGGAAAAACAATGGTGGAGATAATCTAGAAGCCTATCATGTTGTGACAAGTGAGGTCCAAAATATTCAATCATTCTAAAAGCCCAGTAGTCTTACTTTGAGGTTAACGAAATGGTTGTGGGATCCTGACAGTTTATGAGGCTGAGTTTCCAGGGGCTGGGTGACAGATATAATCCACTCAAGTTCTGACTGTCATTGGTGCCATGTGGTGGCAGCTGTCCCCTTACGCAAAACAGAGAGGAAAGATTCTGGATCTTGAGACTGGTTGAGCTTCTAGGAAAATGGTAGTAATTCAAGAATCATTCCATTACTTCATTTCTGGGGAAATTGGGTAGAAGAATACTGAAGATATGATCCTGCTGCTCTGGCTCCTGTATCTGAGAGAGTGTTCTTTCCCTGGTCTGCACATTCTCCCCCAAAGAACATAGCTGTTATCAGCATCCACCTGCTTTGAGAATGGCATCAATGCCAGCTCCAGTTTGGAGTACCTTGTCCAAGGTTTACTTTACTTTGATTAGCATATCAAACAAAAGGGTGTGGAAAATCATATGAAAATAGCTGTATTTTGATAACACCATATATTGCCTCTATATTTCAGACTGTTTTAAACAGCTCATTCTAATCTAGTCAGTAATTGTTCCTGCTTCACCAAGCATTTACTGATAGAACTGTTCTCACCACATTTAGACAAGAAATCAAATCTGCATTATGGAGTTAGCATCATTGTATTTCTAGTTTCATGCATGGTGGATTCCTTATCGAGCTATATTTAATGTACTTCTAATTAGAAAGAGGGAGGAAAGTGGTCAAAGCTTTCTCAGTGTTGTTTTCTCTTTTGTTTGTGTTTCTACAGCTCACCATGTTAAAACGGGAACTTGCGAGGTGGTGGCACTCCACAGATGCTGTAATAAGAACAAGATAGAAGAACGGTCACAAACAGTCAAGTGTTCCTGCTTCCCTGGGCAGGTGGCTGGCACCACACGAGCTGCTCCCTCTTGTGTGGATGGTGCGACTTCTTCCATTGCTCACTGTGACAGTGTAGTTGGGCCTGCTTGGAATTGGAACCCCACTATAATATTATCAATTATAGTCAATCCTGGGGAATCACACTAAAAATCACATGGCTGAAATGAAGTTGTGGGGGGCATTTTGAAGTCTAAAATCTTTTCGATAGATGCCTATTTTTTCACGAGGCTCTGTTACAAAAGGCATTATAATGAGGTTCCATTACATCAATGTGTTTTTTACTTTGATGCCATGAAACGTTAATTTCCTGGTAGATAATAAAGTGTAGAAGTGTGTGTAAATTAACTGGAAAAAGCAAGGTGAAAATACATGGTTTAATACTGTGGGTTCCTAAGCCCAAAGATGAGTCTGGATAATGAAAATATCAACACCATATACATGAGTAAATGCTTTGTTGTAGATAAAATTCATGCAAAATTTGATTTTTTGATGCATGAGAGTATTAATTTTTTTCTTTGAGGGTTCACCTAATTGTAACAAAATAGAAATCTTTATAAGGGTCTATTTATATTATTGTAAATAGCAATTCATTAGGTGGTGTATGTTTTGTGATAAGATTATTGCTCAAGGTAAGGTATAAGAAAAATGTGTTGGGGCCAGGGATTTAACTCAGTGACACTGCACCTGCCTCACAAGCACAAGGTCCTGAGTTCAATCTCCGATACCAAAAAAAAAAAAAAAAAACAAAAGAAAAAAAAAAAGAAAAATATATTAACTCTAACTAATTTTAACTCTCCTGTTAAGTCTCTAGATTTTTCAGCCACTCTAGGAAATATTACATTGATCCTAAAATACTGATTCTAATGTGGTCATGGGACCATTTTCTTATATGTTTATATGAATCGGTGCATGCACACAATCACATAGTTTTGTAAAAATATATTTATCTTTCAATTCCCACATTTTCACATGAAAAATCCTTCAACATTGTGATTATAGTTAATGCTACTGTATTGTTCACTTAGAAACTTATTAGCACTTTAGATCTCTGGTTAAGTGCACTTGTCACAAAAAATAAAACTTTAAAAGAAAAATTCTTTTAGTTAAAAATCTTTTAGTGAGACCAGTATTGTTTGTTCCATTTTAAATGTTCAGCCAGAGAAATAACAATCTCAAGTAGAAAACCCTGAGCTGATTTTCATTTCTCTTGTAGCTTCCATAGTGGAACAGAAATGGTGGTGTCACATGCAGCCATGTTTGGAGGGAGAAGAATGTAAAGTTCTCCCAGATCGGAAAGGCTGGAGCTGTTCCTCTGGTAATAAAGTGAAAACCACTCGGGTAAGTGGACAGCCAGCTCATGAAAGCAAAATGTCTCTGAATTAATAGAGAATGGGACATGTGAGATGGGAGGTTTAGCAGTGGTTATAGAATGACAGAACATAATTTTGCATAGTGTATGTTTCCCATTTTTTTCCTCATTCATTTTTCATAGCCCATTTTTATTTCAGAATAACATCATAGATTACCATCAACTGTCATGCTCTTTGATCACTGCTTGTTCCTTCGTGAGATATTGCTAGGAATCTGAAAGCCCTTGAAGATGGATGTTAAATGCTGGGAAGGTGATCTCAGTCCCCATTCTTCTACACAGAGGAATCTGAATAAATTTTGAGAAAGAAGGATTTAGTTTACATATGACTCAATCAAATTTTCCCATTATGTTTTTTTGTGTGTTTTATGAAGGTATTTATTTTGTTCTTACTCATTTCTGGATCATTAGTTTTTAGTGATTGAGGTTTGCACTAATTTTAATAGGTTACTGAAAGGAGTTGCAGAATATTAGGCTCCATTTGGAAAGAATACTCTTAGGACAGTGATGTATTTCAGCTTTGCCAGAAGAGGCCTCTGGTAGGTAGAAGAGTGAAAAACAGCTTTGATATCTCTAATTAGATATGTGAATTTTCTGCACTAGCAGAATTTGAATTCTTTTTTAATAGAATTAACAAATAAAAGTTTAGTCTTTCTGTGTATTTTTTTTTGTGTATTTCAGTTGGCTTTTTTTTTTTTTTTTGCTTTGAAGAAAGCTATACTATTGTTGAGTCAGATTATTAAATAATATACCACAATAATGGCATGGGGATATTTTAGAAAGGCTAACATAAAACTAAAGACTATTTGATTTAAATATTATTTTACAGAAGTTTAAAAAAGAACTTGTTTGGACATATTTAAAAGATTGTTTTACAATCTCATCCAAATATACTTTAGTCTGTTATGTGAGGTCTTCAGTACTTTGACTGGTTAGTGCCTGGAAATGACCAAGCTTCAGATACTACAAATAAAAATATACTTTGTGAAATTATTATTGACTCTAACTTGTTAGTTAAATCTTGGGACATTTTTTCAAAATACATTAAGTGCACATTTGGTTAGTTTGAATAATCATTTTATTCAGTGAATTGGCAAAAGATAATCCATATGGATTTGTTAAGAATATTTTGGGCATATAAAATTTCCATGTAAACTATTAATACCATGAAATTATTTTTTAACACTATTCTCATTTCAAAATAAAGCTCATGGAAATTCACTGAAGGTTTGAGATTCTTAAACAATTGAAAAAAAAAAGTGAGCATTTTACAACCAAATTCTATATTTCCATTACTTCCCTGGACCAGAAGAAACTACTTAAACATATTTAAAACATGCAGTATATGAAATAAATTGGCTCACTTAATCCTCTTAATGGCCCCATGAATAAGAAAATATTTTTATCTCTTTATTAGAGATATGTAAACCAAAATTTCAAAAGTGTTAAGTGACTTTTCAAGGTCATAAAACTAATTAATTGGGAAACCAGGGTTTAAGCCACACAGCCCCTTTCAAAAACCTGTTCTCTTAACCTGTATCTTGCACTTAACTTTCGATTATGATTTAACTTATCTTAAGTGATAGCAATAAAAGTTTCCTCTAGTTCTTTTCACATGAAGTAGACCTTTAAAAATATCTTTAACTTTCTGGATCAGTGAAATGAAAAGGTCAATAAGAGGTGATCTAAATTCTCAGAAAAATTTTTTAGAAGTGCTGTTTAGCTCCCCATTGGTTATATTTTCAACAATTAAAATTAAAATTGAGTCTATGCTTCACAGAATTCTTTGCAACATAATGAAACAAGATGGATGAGAGACTGAGGATTCATGAATAGAGAAACAGGAGACCACATCTAGGTCCTGTACTTTGTTATAGTTGCATTTTTCCCTCCTGTATTGAATAGTAGTATCTTCTAGTTTTCTTTCTTCTCTTTTGCTTCAGAGTATAGCTCCTTTAAGATATTGTAGAAAGAATCCATGCAACAGTAGGTGTTTGGATTGCTTTTAAGATCTCTAATGATTCTGATTCTATGATACCCATTTTAAAAAGAGAAATCAACATATATAGGAGAAAATAATATTTGAAAGGCGTTTCTTGGGTAAAATCAAAGTAAATTATTATTGGTCAGTTGTGGTGGCATATATCTGTAATTCCACAACTCTGGTAGGCTCACAAGTTTGAGCCCAGCATAGGCAACTTAATGACTTAGGGATGCACTATCTCAAAGATTAAAAAAAATAAAAATGCTGAAGGTCTTGAGTTTAAAAAATTATTTTTAACCCTTTTTTCCTTCTCAAAGGAAAAAAAACCCCTGATGGTATAAAAAATGGAGAAAATGGATAATTTCAACTCAAAATATCATAGCATTTTAAATGACAAGGCAAAAATGTGCAGTTTTGAATATTAGTTTGCCTTATAAAATGTCATGAGCAAATTTCTCCTATGCTATTTCACACACACACACACACACACACACACACACAACCTCCAAGGTTATGAGTTTATTACTTCTCTACCATTTTCATAGAAATAGTGCAAAAAGTGTGAAAGACAAGAAAAAATAACTTGAAATATTCCTGGACACTGTGTTATTTTGCCCACAGGAGGAGTTTGGAGAGAGGTAATTTTTACTATGCATAAATCACAACAGAAAGATCTTGAGTCATTGTTTTAATCATTGTTATTCTTGGCTGCTTTCTCTGGCTTCCCTCATCAACAAGCCATTAGAATCCTCATTTGGCTGGTCCTAGCCACAAAAAGAAGTCCAGAAGTAAAGCAGAAACGAACAAATTACAAAGTAGTGGAGGAATGAACAGATTACAAAGTAATTCAAAAGCTGCTTTCAGCCAAAATCTATTTGTGTTTCTCATGCAAGATATGTTGGTCATATGGATTATCATTAAAAGCAAAATGGCTTGAGAAATGATTAAAATTTACAATAATGTACACCTTGCCTTCTAATTGCTTATATCCAATCTGGAGTGCTTGGGTAAGCCTAATGTTAGGAAAAAAGCAGTCAGCCAAAATCAGCAATGAGGCTTTCAAGGCTTTGGCAGGGATGAGTGGAACCTTCCAGAACTGTCTGAAAACCAGGAGCTGGGTAAACTTATTTTAGACTAAAATGGAACCTACACTGACTTACTACCATGTAAACTGTATCCTCCTCTGTCTTTGTACTAAATGCAGAAAGTATTTTTGCATTTTGACCCATTTTCTGTCACAAAAGGGAGAAAGGTAAGGAATAGGTAGTCTTTTCTATAACATCAATATTTTTTTCTTCAAAATCCCAAATATTAAATCTAGAGAGGACCCAAAATGTAACATGTATATCTCCAATTACTATTTTTCATTCTAAAGATGAAAAATTTAGGAATGTCTGTGGTATCCATAACTATCTGCTGTATTACTTTTAAAATTTCCTAAGTTAAAATAGAAGAAAGGAAAAGTCATTCAAACCTTTTAATTTCAAACTCACTTTCAAAGATAACTAATGCAGAACTTTAAAAAAGACTCATTAATAAAAGAGTAGTCTTTCCAGTGTGAAAGAGCACATAATTATATGCTAATTATACAACACAAAAATAGTAGAGGGGAAAGGTGCTGCAGAACTTGTAAGATATGAGAAAAAAAAATCTTTAACATTACTTGAATCATTGGTTAAAAAAACCAACTGTGGTTCATTTCTTTTAGTGTTTTGATATTCTTTCTCTGTGGATCTAAGGAAGATCTAAGGAAGTCACATTTTTCTTTTAGGATTTCCAGCTCATCAGCATGGACACCAAGCTCCAAACTCTAGTAATCACCATAGCTCTTATGTGTGATTCTTACCTAAGGAAAAATGAACATCACTTTATACAAATCAAGACTTTATATTGTCATTAAAAAGAGTATCTCTGTGAATAATGAATTGCACATCTACTGACTTCATATGCTTAACAAAAAATTTTCTGGGTACTTTTTAAGTAATTGGAATTATTTTGTCTTTATTCATTAAAGTGCCATAAGTAGACTTAAAAACTTTGATATTTCAATTTTAAGTTCAAATAAACTAGATTTTAAGGGTATAAAATATGACTTTACTTCATTGTATAATGCAATGAAAATCACCAAATACTAAGAATGTCCTATACATCACATTCTATAATAGTACTCAAACACCAAGAGCAAATATAAAAGCATTTACTTAGCTCTTACAGTGTACAGATCACTGGTAAGTGCATCACAAGTGCTATTTAATTTTCTTGACTACAATAGACATGAAAGAGAATACAGAGATATACATCATAATCCCTGCCCACGAGGTGTATGCACTTCGACTGGGAAATGAATACTGTACAGTTCTATTATTTGTCCATTCGTAGCTCACTGATAGTAAACATTGGGATAAATGGTAAGTAAAGATCAAGAGTGATGTTGTTAAAGTAATGAAATAGCATAAGCCATCAGTTTAGCAATTGTTTTTAAAAAAATCTTGACTATTTGCTGCCCAAGAGTTCACAATTAAGTGGATAGAAAGTCAGTAAGCCATTGTCATGTACAGAAGTGGTAAGACAGAGGATCATGGTGCTACCTTGACATCTCTATATTGCATGGTTCATAACCCTCCTAAAATGCAAGGGTAACAGCTTTTGATGTTATTCAAGAGCAATTTATTCAAGACTTTGTCTTCTTAATATATAGAGACTAAGCAAAACTTAAACATTATGTTCTGTGATGTCAAGATTGAACTTAATTATTTTCTCCCTTTGCTTGTAGTATTATACTAGCACAAGGCAACAAAAATCAAATTAAAATTTTTCTCAATCAGAGTACCTTCTTATTGATGAATTATTCATAAAGAAAAATCAACATTGAAATGGATTAACTTTTTGAATTGGATTTTAAACCATCTTTAAGTTTTCTACCTATGGGGAGAGGAGAGAGTTAAGGAAGAGGAGAGAAGAGAAAGGAGAAATTCTGTATATGAA